TGAGTTCGAATCTAGGCCGCGACTGACCTAAGTCGATAAAAAATGGGTAGCAACTGTTCCTTCGCCTTGCGCTCGGCACTTTGAAGTGAAAGTTGCGGGTTCTTTGTATGAGACCTTAAAAACCGAGGCCGCGTGTCGGGCAGGCGTTGGCACGATACAGATCCGTCTGCGCGCAATGGCCCTGAGTGCCGAGTAAAGGTCAAAATATGAAACCCTTCAAGGTATATGGTGACGTCTCTATATGAGTGAAAAATTCTTGAATGGGACGTAAAACAACATACAATCAATCAAAGAAACTGAAAAAATCTAGAGTTCAAAATGTATCAACCCTATTCCTTTTTTTAGTACTGTTTGACTGATGTGTACATTAACCTTCATTCTAAGTCTATAACTTTCGAATTCATCATTTCCACTCTTACAGAGCTTGCAATGTGTTGTTGGCTGTCTGTTCATCATAGCGAAACATCAAAAACCCTGAAGTAAACCATGAAGAAAGGGATACCAAGAGGGTGTTCTCTGTTTTCCCATTGATTAGATACAAACACCTAAGAATGCTTATATCAAGGATGACAAAGAACTTCTTCCTTACCTATTAACAAACACTCTTCTCTGATGGAAGGAAGCTGGACCAGAGATTAGGACAGGGGTTTCATGATGGCCCCACAGAAAAAAAATATCTCATCAGCATCAAATTCCATGCGTACAGATCTTGGTATTTGATCTCTTGTTTGATAAATGACTAGCAATTTCTTTAAAAAATTAAGCTACTTGTATGATCTGTTAGTTCTGGATATTATGGAGCTTGCAGATCACTCAGCATTAAACTCTGCAGAAAGTGCAAAGAGAATTTGAAAAGATAAGTTTGAAGAATTTTGTCATAGAACACCTTTATCCGGTTCGGTCATATTTCTATTCATCGTCAAACCCTTAAAGCACAAAATCATAATGAGTAACAGGAAAGAAGGGTTTTACTTTATTCAGAGGTGACTAAATTTTATTTCAAATAAAACAAGGAAACCTTAAAGATTTCTATCAGCATAAGAATCGAGCTCATCTCCATTCTTTGGAGGCTGTAATCTACATCTTAGAACCAAAAGTGATTTTCTTCTGTGCATGTAACATTTTCAATTAGGATATGTAGTCCGAGGCTCAAGTGACAAACTTACTTTTTGGATGGTTTATATCATTGTCCAAATAGTCATCAGACCTTCCTTCGATCAAATTTCTAGCAAGTTCAAAGAGTCTCACATTAGTTTTAGTTTAAAAATGCATATATGTACTCAGTATGTTATATTTCCTTGGAAAATATAGCTAGAGCAAAGCAAAGCAGATTGCTGCAGAGATTTCCTCCTTAAAGATGACAATAAAACGGAATTGTGCAGATACTTCTACTGTCACTTAATGAATGCATAAAACTAAGAGCGCATGTAAAAAAAAAAATCCAAACTCAGGTGCTCTAGCATGTGTGAATGTGGCGGGCTTATTGTCCTGCTTAAAGTCAATATGGACTTTATAATATGGAATTTATTATATTAAAACATTGTAAATATTGTAATTGTAATCACTTAGGGCTTATAGTAGGATAGGTAAGACTGTTGCATTGAAATCAAATGATGTTAATAACTGGATGTGCTGTTTATAATCTCTTACTATTTAATGATATCTAAAAGGGATCAATTATTAAATCAATATTAATTTAGGTGGAGGCAAATGTGATTTTGACTTTATCGTTGTTTCATCTTATGAATCAGTGGCATAGTATGTTAGAAAGTGATGTCATATGCATATATTTTATAAGAAGCCCTAAACATTTTTTTTTTTTTTACAAATAATTCATATAGTATTTGAATTATCTTAAATCATGATAGTATGTGAAATTTAGTAAATGCCAACAATAAGGGTTTTTTCTGGAGGTCATTTTGTAAAATAGCTGTCATGGCCGCCAGGACTTGATTCTGCAAAGGCCCAATATTCACATTTCTTTCTATTGAGAATGTCTATATTTGTGCCAAAAATTGCGCTTTTATCACAAAATGCACAATAGGTTAGTTATGCCGCAGTACTATTACCTGTTAAAAGTAAATTACAGTATATTCAAACTAAATAATTATAAATTTAATTTTCCTGGCAATATGGAAAATAGTTACTGGGATCAGATTTTTTTTAAGTAAGACATACAATGACATCGTTTAAAAAATGACGAAGGAAATTTACGTCTTAGCCCTCCCTCTCACGAAATGGAATTTTTATAGGTTTTGGGACAAGTTGTATTTTTGCGTCTCAAAACATTTTCGGTTCTGACATTTGTATCAGTTGATTTGTATCCGCCTTCCTTGGAAAACAAAATCCTGGTCCAAACGCCCCTGATATTCCTTGTGCGAGGGGTGATCAAAAAGTTCGCGAATTATCTCCATATTTACAAAACCACAATTCAGATCAAAGTGAAATTTGGCACGCATATAGTCATTCACATGTTCTATAAATAACAGATGTTAAATAATGTTTTGCTCCGTGTTTGTGACGTCACAATGTGAAAATGACGTCAATATGTAGGTCACTTTTGACAAAAAATGGTTGACTCAGTGGTACTCGAGGAACGAACGGCTGTAAAGTTTAACGTATATCTTGGAAATTCCTTTGCAGTAGAATATGATAATTTGTACAAGGTTTATGAAGACAAAAGACTTATCAGAAATTCAATCATTAATTAGATTGATTGTTTAAGTGAAGGCAGGGAGATGGTTAAAAATGATGTTTGTTCTGTTGCCCAGCGAAAGCAAGTCGGGGAAAAGATGTGTCCTTAGTTGAGCAATTTGTTATGAAACATTGTCAACTTACAATTAGAAAAATGGTTGAATATCTTAACAATAATATAATTATTAAAACCCTAAAATATCGTTTACTTTAGACTTTAAACATACGAGATATGATAAAAAGAAGGCGCCCATACTTTATCCACATTGGAAAAACGACGCTCCCGAGACAGAGGACTCGGGTTGTGATGGGTCACCATACTAATTGTGGGGAGGCATATCCTTATCCACCCATTCTATTGCCGAGATTTGGCCATTTCTGACAGATGGACTGTTCTTGTTATAAAAAATAACTTGCATGGTAAGAAATATAAGACTCAGAAAAATCTTTTAGCTTCTCTGAACAGACTGCTACGGAGCATGTCACGTGACTGCCTGGATCACGTGATTCGCGCATGGGCAGAACAATGGCAGATGTGCATTAAAATCGGAGAGGACTACTTTAAAAAATAATAAACACTGAAACCTCATTTTATTTCTCTTAAGGAAGTAATTCAATTAGTTCGCGAACTTTTTGATCACCCCTCGTACATATGTACTAGTATACGTCGAACGCTGATTGATGTGAAAAGTCCTCCAGCATCCTAGACTATCGATTGGACCACACGTTAATATTTTTTCCAAATAGGAGTAAAAGAAAAAAAATTAATATCTTTAGAAATTATTTTTTCGGAGAAAGGAAGGCCTTTTGGGTTACAATTTATATACAGCGTTATCCCCATATAAAGTGAAGATTGTAATCTAATTTAAAGTGTCTCTAAATCATGCATAATTTTGGGTCCTGGAGCTAAAATGGTACATGTACTACAATATGGCTTTTAATACGGAAGTATAATGCATGTATATTTACAAAAATAACGAAAGAAAACTGTTTTATCTATATCTTCCATATATATGTTTATTATACCTCTATTAAGAATACTCGAATTTGATTGGCTTGTTAGAAGGCTTTTAAACTCAATAATGACTCCAAAAAGTACCATTTACAGCAAAAATGACTTAGGAATCATTGCACGTGGGGTATAATGACCCGGTCATTATAAATAATGACCGCTATAAATGACCTGTTAATCTAAATTCCATTCAAATTCAAAAATTAATGCATACAGTAATGACTGTTCATTGCAAAAAATGCCGTTATAAAAATATGCATAGTCTTTTTATGATATGGAATACGATTGTCCTTCAGATGCGTCATAAAATTTATCGTTTTCATTGAAACTTTCGTTACAATGTCAAATTCAACGAATGCAGACTTGGCTCTTTTGTACAGTAAAAGTCTGCACCAGATTGTCATTGTACTTGGGAATGGTATTTGTGAATTTATAAAAATGCATGTTACTGACAATCACAGAGTGTTTTAGTAAACAAAAACTTACAAGACTTGCAGGCGAACAAATTCACTAGCGAATCCCGATCCCGATGAAACACTGATAATAATAGTTTGTAGGTCTAATACACAATTGATTATAATTCTAGTAATCAAGCCTACAAAAATTGTCTTAACTTATATCGGTATAATAAAACAATTGATTACCCCTTATGAGTTCAGCATGGTGAAATAAGGACCCTCGACCTGGCCCACTCGCTGACCTGACCAGACCTCGTGGGCCAATACTCGGGTCCTTTTTTCGCCATGTCGACCTCATTAGGGGTAATTAATTGTATAATATATATACACTTGATAATTAACGATTGCTGAATTTCGAAAAAGAGCTAGATTTTTTTTATGAAAAAGATCTCTTACTAGCAATTACAGGTAATTATATATGTTATTTATTTTCAATAAAAGCCTAGACGTGTGTGTTCTTCTGATGGTTCTTTTACTTGAATATATAGGATTTGTAAAACTGCTGTGTTTTAAAATCTAGATCTGCAGAAGTATATGACGTAATAACAAGGAACTAACTAGAATGTTTTGTCATTTTTAATGGATATGTAATGCAGAGAACAATAAATAGTTAAGAAAAATAGCAGTTTTAATCTTTAATGATGTTAATACAGACCTAACTCTAATGAATAAAAGAAGCTATCATAGTTCTGCATAATTATTTTTTTTTGAAACCTTATCCAGTCTGCACTTACGCAGCTTGCGTATTTATTATAAGAATAGATGGACAACAAACCTGTTGCTGAATTATATTTTAGTTGTACTGTACATGCATCTCTTTAACTGTGATCATTTACAACATGAAACCAGAAAAAGAAGAAAATTTAGGTTCAACCCATGCTGTTCCAGACCAAATATCAATGCAAGTCTTATCTCCTGCTGTCATTCTTACAACAGCCATTTTACTGCATGACATATGGAAACCACGACCTTTGTCATAACAATGGATGTACGCCTTTCTTTTTCCATTCACGACCAGAGAGGTATTGGCGTATTTCCCAACGCTCGTCAAAGTTGTCCACTCAAAGACATAGACTCCAGATTTTGGAGCCATGAAAACCCCTTTATTGACGTTGTAACCTCCTCCTATATTCAGATCGACATCTCCAAACAAGACATTGTTCCCCTGTTTCAATATCTGGACGCTTCCTTTGCCTTTAGCGTCGAATGCTATAACCATGTTTTCTAATACCAGAAAATGCAAAGCTATAAATTAAGTTCAATACACGTGCTCAATGCGCGTGCATTATCAAGGATATCAAGGATTATATATAGCTCAATATAATTATCTTACGTCTGTCCCGGTTGCTTTTGCAGTGGTCCTTTACATATCCAACAGCCACACATGTTTAGCGAGATAGTCATAGTCGTCTCTAAAGGATTTAAGGCCAAGACGGGGAGACGCTTTCTCAGCATTAATGATGCCAAAAACTGAACCAAATCCCACAATAAACAGAAGGGAATGCATTCTACAAAATTGATGATAATCATTTTGATAGAGTTCCTTATATTGGATTATTATTTTGAATTACTGAAATCTACATAATTATAAATAGTTTTTGATCAACGCCACGCTATGTGAGTTGCACGATTTGATTAAAGAGTGGTTAGATTTCGGAAGAAAAAAAATATGAAGAACTCTTATTTAAAAATTATTAATAGCTTAACCATTATATCTCGGTCATTTGTTTTTATATTCATTCCTTTTAATTATGTATACTTAAAAAGCACTATTTTCTAAAAAAAAAAAAATATAATAATAATAAATAAATAAATAACGGATTTCTGATTCAAAATATTTTTTTCGAAAGTAACAAAAAATGTTGTTAGAGGTTTGTTTTACTCAGTTCTTTTGAATACTTTAGTAATAAGTTAACAACGAAAGTTCTTCATTTATGGAGTATAATGATTTATATACTCTATACATAGTAACAAGTTTTTTTTCTTTATCCAAAAGACGTATAATTCCTAATTTATTTTCAGTATAAAAAAGTTTTCTTACCTGTTGTTAGGAATACTTGATTTTTAGTTTTAATTCCAATTGAGAGACAACCTTTCTTTAAAGAATAAACTTTTATATATTTTATTCCTAGCGTGCTGTCATACCATTTGGTAACACATTGCAATTGTATCATTTGATACCAACAACGAAAAATATTTAATCTGAACGTTTACCAAATTCCACGAAAATTTATAGAAAGTAGTTGTAGGTACATATATATTTCCTGAAATAGCCGCTCACTTTTTCAGTTTCATACATGACTTGTTATACCAACTTTACACGGGTCCGTGTTTTCTAAGGTTCTAAGTTTAATAACAATTCAAATTCCAGGGTGGAGTCCGAACACCCCCTCCCCCTCTAGTTCCGAGCATGTGTCCTTACTTAGCTCCAGGGAATCTTATCAAAATAAGTGTATGAGGTAGAGGGAACGGACACAGAGAAACAATAACGTTGTCGGACGTCATGAAAGTAAACGGCGACAGCGATAGGTGTTCATATAATGTCCTTTTTGTTTATAAAAATTTGGCAATGTATCAAAATATGAAGCTACATTTTGCAATTTTTTTTTTTTTTTAGATATTTATTATTTAATGTTCCTTATGAATTTTTAACAAGAGACTACAAAATATCTATTTTATTAGTCCACTAATACTAAAATTTATTAATTTTATCAGTCCACTAATTTTTTACGTAACCCTCGTAAATATAAAAAAAAATGTTAAAAAAAATCAATTTTCAATCATTTCTTAGAAATGCTCTATTCACGAGCAAGTCAATATAAAATATTTTGGAGATAGATGTATTTGAAGGAAAGAAATGCTGGCATTACATTTTTTGAGTTTGATCATCGTATATATGATGCATTAATATTCTAAAATTATTCAATGCAAAATCATATGAGAAGCTGAAGTATGCATTAAAACAGATGAAATTTGAAATGAAAGTATATTGTTTATAAAAGTTCCATAATCGAGGACTTCCAATCTAATGAGAGTCGTTTCTCTCCTCTATTTAGAGTATCGTGGTGTTTTCCATAATGACATTGCTCTAAATGTTTAGTCTCCTTAATGAAATTCTACTTTAGGATCCCTCTGAATTCCGTATTGATACATATATAACATACTAGGTTGACACATATCCTTAGTGATCAACAAGTTAAGACGACCCCTGATCTCCTTAAAGTGGCTGACTCTTAGTAAAGGTATCATGATTAAAGTCTTCATAGTGAAAATCACTTTAAGTGACCCCCAGTCTCCGTACTGAAATAACAAACCAGGTAAAAATATTGTCTTTGTGTTGATATACATTCGGTGATCTTTGGTCTTCTTAATAATATATAATGTATAATATATTATATTATAATAATATAGCACATTTTGTGATCTCTGTGGAGTAATTCCTGCCTTCTTATCTACATATTATACTAGCGAGTCCTCTGGTTATTCTACTTTCTATACTAGTAAATCTTATTCAATAAGCAGTATTGATTAATTGATTACATAGTTTTTGAAGTCCCATTCGGGGTTTCTTTACTCCTGTAGCTATGTCACTGTATGCCGGTGAGGGGCTTCAAATTTAGACCTATCTTGGCACTCAGAGCCATGGAGCATTGCGGTATCTTTATCGTGTCAACTCCTATCATGACACGGGACGCCTCAGCGGTTTTTAAAGACTCATGCGAAAGATTCGTAACGTTCATTCCCTTTGCTGGGTGCTTGCCGAAGGAACAGTCACTACCTATGTTTACGTCTTAGTTTTATTAGAAACGCCTGATAGAGCAGTTGTCATGTTGTCTGCAAGATGATCCTTTGAAGATGTTTGTTTAAAAATCAGTTAAAAATTGTTCTGCTTATTGGTTATCAATGAAAACTTTGACTACATTAAGGAAAGAAAAAAAATCTTCTGTGGGTAAACACAACATTTATCACACACCATTTGAGTATTAGAAAAATTTACCAAAAAAAATTAGGAAAACCGGAAGCCGTATATATATATTACTAGGCAACATGTCAAACATCTTGCCTGATATCGTTTGAGTGACAGAGATTTCATCCTGTTGCAACCTCCCACCATCGATTTAAAGGTTTTATGATCATTATCGGTAAATGCCAACCTTATATTTAAGCTTTCCAATTGGCCTTGAGATATGTTTGCTTCAAGAGGACAATTTGCTGCCGGGTGTTGTTTTGGAACTAAGACATCCGTTCGGCAAATTCGTGTGCAGGTAGAGATACGGCAGCTTAGATTTGTTAAGACTATTGTTTTATCAAATCATGCATACATGTAAGCCTATAATTTGGTATACATAATTGTATATAAGAAATTTAAGACTGCAAATTTATGCTACTTTAATACATGTGTATGCTTAATTACAAACGTTGAAATTCTTACCTATCTATATGTTGTCTTAACACTTAAACTGACTGTCTAAAAAGGAATTCATCGATTGATCAAATCTCATTAAATATCAAATTATTAATACTGTTAATATGCAGAAGAGACATGTTTCTTTCTTTCTTATATGTAAAAATCTTCTAAAAGTAAAACTGCAATATTCTTTTATTCAGGTAAAAATGGACTTCTTGATATATATATATATATATATATATATATATATATATATATATATATATATATATATGTGTGTGTGTGTGTGTGTGTGTGTGTGTGTGTGTGTGTGTGTGTGCAGAAATGGCACTCTATGCTGAATACTTACAATGAACTTGATTTTTATTGTACATTTAAGTCTCATTTTAGACCAGAGCGATATCTGAATATTATAAATTGTAAAAGTTATAGATATGCCTTGTAAGTGGATGAAGATTATTTAGTCTTGATTTGGAAATTTAAGTAGTAGCTGGTATAGAAATATATTGAGAACTGACAGAGTATGTAAATTTTGTTTTTTTTTTTAAATATTTTTTTAATTGAAAATGAAGTTCACTTTATTGAATTTTGTGAACTCTATGATGATATTAGAAAAACCTGTCATATATCAAAATATCTTCTCTTTTTTGGAAATACGAAAAAAAAAATCAATATGGAGGAACAAATGTCGAAAATGCTTTGGCAAAGTATGCTTTTCTAGCTTTTAAAAGAAGATACATTTTTATGAAGTCTCGAGAACATTGATATATCTTACTTGTATAATACAAGATTGTAAGGATAAAAAAGTTATATTATGTTTTATGCTTGAACCCGACTATGTAGATACATTTGACTTAATTAAATTGTATTTTACTTTTGGCCGGTGGCCTTGAATACTTTTATAAAACCACTGAGTGATTGATATACTTGTATCATTCTAGAATCTCTCTAGTGAGTCTGATTTACCTACTGGGGGTATATTGAATTCCAAAACTTCATAAAAATCCTGACTAGCAACGATGTATTGTAGGGTTCAGTAAATGTTTAACCAAGCCCCTTTCCTTACTCCTCAGCAAATTATTAACTGCAGTGAAGGAGAAAATTGAGGCGTATTGTGCATCTACATACTCAAAAAATGATGTAAATCAAATGTGAATACTAAAAACTCCAAAGAACGTTTGGAAAATTTAAAATCTCAGGACTTTCCAAACATCAAAAGCATCAAAACACATGACTTTTCAGCGCTTTATACAACCATTTCTCACGATAAATTAAAGAAAAGGCTTTTTGACATCAGAGACAACTGCTTCCTCAATAAAAATTCAACTCGCTAATTTTCATATCTTACCTTGTTATTTGTCATCTACAAAATTACTTGGATAAAAATCATTCTCAATCTACGTACAAGTACAATAAAATTGATATCAAAAAGAGGTTAGACTTCCTCATTCACAATATCAATGTAGTCTTTGCAGACAAGGTCTTCGAACAATCTGAATTCCGGTGGCCATTACATGTTCTCTTTATTAGCCAACCTGTTTTTTGTATTCCTATGAAGCAGAATTTATTCAAAAACTTCTACATTTGAAGAAGAAAAGTCTTGCTGATGCCTTCAGTTTGACATTTAGATATATGGACGACCTTTATCATTTAACAACAGTTACTTTCAGTCATATGTCGAATCGATATATCCCATTGAATTTGAAATTAAAGAAGTACTCCGTATACGTGATCAATACATAGGCTTAATGCAGGTGTGACCTGTCATCATCAGAAGCGTACTTCTTCTAGGCGTCTTATTCCACTTCTGA